GTGTGTGGCCAGCTCAGCCCACCAGGGGGCGGGGCTGGCTGGCATGTGGTGCTGGGGGATTGAACTGTGGTCCCTCTGCTTTGCTAAGCTTGTTCTAAGTAGGTGCTTTAGACCACTGAGCCATCTCACCAGCCCCTGGCTTACACTTTAGCTCCATTTCCTGTAGACTGGGTAGAAGTGGCTTCACCTTCACATGACTTGATTTCTTCATCTGTACAATGGGTTGATAGCTGGGCATCTAGGAACATTCTTATAACTCCAGTACTGTGGGAGGCTGAGACAGTAGGACGGAAAGTTCAAGCCCGGCCTGAGCAATTTAGACACATGAAAAGTCCTGCTTCAAAAAGGGAAGAAAAAGAAAAAGGGCTGGGCATGTAGCTTAGTGTAAAGGCCCCTGGGTTCAATCTCCAATATTGAAAAATAAAAGGTTGATAATCACAGTGCCTCCTGGAAAAGGTTGTCATGGAGACTACACTGATATGTGAAAAGCATTAAACAACAAAGCTCCACAGACATGCACACTAAAATGCTGACCGGAAGACCCTCTAAGCTGGCCGAGTGTGATGGTCCACGCCTGTAATCCCAGCACTTGGGAAGCTGAGGCAGGAGGATCTTTGTGAGTTAGAGACCAACCCAGGTTTCAAAGTGAGCTCAAGGCCAGCCTGCACTGTGTAGCAAGACACTGTCTGAAAAAGACAGAGGACTCGCAGCCAGCAGCGACCCTCCTTAGGTCCTGCCCTCTTAGACAGGTGAGGGGCTGTACGCAACGTTGTCTGCCCACCGCAAGTCATCGTTTCCTGTCACGCGTCTGTGTCGAACACACATCCATTCCTCCTACTCTGTTGCTGCCTGACATTTCTGGAATCGCTTCTGACATTTGGGAATGTCCCACATGACAATTCCTGCCTCCCCTTTCTGTCCTCTCCAGGGAGCCCAGGCTCTGCCATTTAGAAGTGACAGCGCTCAGGACAAGGCTGCAGATGCAAGGGCCTTGTCAAACCCCTTGGCTTGCTGGAAGGTGGTGGTGGCCTTGGCCTTCCGGGCCACCGTGGGGGACTGGCCAGGTGTGCAGGAGTCCTACTCTGTGGCATCCTGGATGCCGCCATGCAGTTACTCTCCAGGCCTGATTCTCCATTTCTCTTACTGGTTCTGTAATCTTTTTATTACTGTGGGACTAGAGGTTGAACCCAAGGTCTTCACACTGAGCTATATCTGTATCCCCTTTTTATTTTATT